ATATATATATATATATATATATATATATATATGTATATGTATAAACATACATTTTTTTATTTAGCTTAATAATTGTTAGCTGGGTCTGGGAATTTCCGGACGTGATTTATTTTTCTGGTTCTTGGTTGCAGGGTTAGCATGGGATGAGGGGAGTGTCCAAAATCTGATGGTCAACTGCTGACTGGTTCAGGGCTTCTCTCTCGTTTTTTTTTAATATGGGCTCCCATTTCCTTTTTTCTGTCCAGATGGTCATGTCAATTAAAAAAAATTGTTATTAAATGTTACAATCATCTGGACTCCATTTGTCATGTGTCCTGCGAGTCACTCCTAGACACACGGACCATAACAAACCTGAACAACAAGTATCACTAAAGAAAAATAGGAAACTCCAAACCTATAGATAAAAGCCCTGTTTCTCACTCTTTAATCCAATTTATAGTACATCCCAACAGCCCCTCCAAACAACAACAACAAACTGCTTTGAACAAAATTCAGCAAGGCCTGTCAAATTAGACATTTCTTTTCGAGCTTATGCATTTCTATTACACATTTATATTTATGACTCAGTTCATGCTGAAAGCTTTACGTGTAAATAACCCAGTACTTATTATTGTAATGTTTATTGTATTTCCCAGAGCTGAACGACTGTGTGTCCTCTCAGCAGTGTTCTCCAGGGAGGAGAGAGATCAACTTCATTTTCTTTCTGTTCCCGCTTCAAGTGTCACCACAGAGACACAGAGTCTTGGACAGTGGACCTAAGTACTTGAAGTGCACCTTTGTGACCTCTCCTAGTATTCTCACCGGCCTCCCTCTCATTCATACACATGTACTCTGTCTTACTACGACTGACTTTAATTCCTCTTCTTTCAAGTGCATACCGCCACCTCTCCAAGTTCTCTTCCACCTGTTCCCTGTTAACACATTGCATAATAATCTGCAAACATCATAGTCTATGGGAATTCCTGCCCAACCTCATCTGTTAGTCTGTCCATCACCAGAGCAGAGATTACTTTACGTGTTATTCCCTCTCCACAGAGAGCACAAAAGCCAACCTAGTGGTCAAAATAGGAACAGGTTCAATATTATATACATGTGAGCACATCATTCTCATTGTTGTAGGAGTAATTTTGAAGTCACATTTAATATGATCCTGTCCTTATGCAATTTATTGGCAGGGTGGGAATCAGTATCTCTTAATCTGGATTGGTCTACTACACAGAAGGAAAGAGTGGATAGATCTTAACTAAAACATTCAAAAGGAAGAGATCCTTGTACAGTTCTTTACTATTAATGATCTTATACCTTAAGCAATGTGGTGCTTTTCCAGAATGGGAAAAATCTTTGCAATAATTTAAACATAGCATTGTTAAAACAAGTGTTGTAAAACTACTGCTTTTTAACTAAACCACCAGATAAAGAAGTAAGGGTTTATTTTGCCATTATGTTTTATATTGAGTTAAACAAACTGTTTTTGTTTTGTCTGTTGCTTTAAGATATCTTTTACATCCTCAGTTTTCACTGTGCTTCATGTTTTTTGACAGGGGAGACAACCTGACTCTGATGTCCAAGCAACAAGGATGACTGCGTGGAAATGTATCACCAAAACCCAACACGGGCCAGCTGGAATGATGCACTTTGCAAACACAAGCGCTGCTGTTTGTGCATGAAAGTGTTGGGCTTCAGTCAGTAGCACCAGCTCAAATACTGTCATTGTTTTTAAAATAAAATATAAAGGAACACTATTTAAAAGGCTTCGAAATGCACAGTATACGTCAACAATAACCAAATTTGAAAATGGAAATTCTCTTTTTGGAGCACTTCTTAAAACATTTTTTCAGATCAATTTCAATATCTTTCACAACAAAAATATATTGTTGAAAATATTAGCATTGTAACATCCATCCAATCCATCTTTTCGGGTCGTGGGGGTCACTGATACTCATGTACATCTAACACTGTGCGGGAGGACACCCTGGACGCATAGAGACAAATGAGACAAAAAAAACATTCACTCTCTCACTCACAAGTAGGGACAATTTAAAGTTACCAATCAGCCTAACAGGCATGTTTTTAGTCTGTGGGAGGAAATGGGAGTACCTGGAGAAAACCCACGCATGCACAGAGAGAACATGCAAACTCCACACAGAATGGTCCCCAGGCTGGGATTTGAACTGGAGCAACCTACTCGCTGGGGTGCAGCAGCTCTACCAACTGCACCGCCGTGCTGCCCGCATTGTAACATATAATAAAAAAATATGGATCTGATCAGGTTTTTTTTTTTTGTATTCTTAATAAATATATTTGAATTAGCTAATCTTAAATTTTTCAAACTCAATTTGCAACACTGCAAACTGTCAATATTACCATAAGGCAGAAATGCACACAATGTAAATGTAATGTGCCGATATATTATAACAATATTTTATTACAATCAGTTGTAATTACAGTATCAAATGATAATACAGAATCATCTTTAGTTAAATTGGATTAATCATTGCGAACACATAGGCCACTGGGATCTGAAGTCCAATGTTGACTATATGCCATTTTCCCATTCCTAGTGCTCCCATAATCAGCCCTCCAGTTGTTCCTAAAGTCCCTGGTTTTGATGACCACCTTCCAGCTGAAGCTACTGTTGCTCCAACAGACACCCCTGTCGCTCCAACCATGCCTAACATTGCTCCTGCTGTCCCTGCCTCACCCAGACCTGCGGCTAAAGCTTCTATCCCAGCTAGTAACCCCCCTGCCACTAAAGCAGCTCCTACAATAACTTTTACCTCCCCAGCTGCTCGCCTTACTAATATCCCTCCCAATGTTGCTCCCAATCCCAGCTGGCACAGTTTTGCAGCAAAGAAAGCTGCATTTACAGCTTCCAATGATGAGTGGTAGTCCATTTGAGTGCTGATGGTTTCTCTGGATTGATTGCGCCCAGCCATTCTCATCCTCCTAGCAGAAGTTACAACCTCCTGCCCGGCATGAAGGGTCAGCATGGCTATGACGAAGGTCGCAAACATTGCCATGCACCCTGCCAACATCCAAAACTTGAAGTCAATAGATTTTAAAAGGAAAAAGGTGATCATTGAAACTAAAGCCAAAAGCACAAGAAACACAGAGTAGTGGTTTCCGTAACCAAACAAACCAAATGCTGATGTAACAATGGTAACTGCTGTCATTGGTATTCCTGAAAAAGCCAAGATTTCAACATATTTGACCACCACGGTGTTGATCCAGTCTTGGATGGTTCTTTGCTCCATTTCATTTTCTTCATTGTCATATTTTCTTCTCTCTATTTCTTCTCTTTCTTTGTGCTCAGTGACCCATTTTGTTATATCTTCCATTCCTCTTGTGCTGCCTCCTTTCTCCAGTGACAAGATGCTCTGCTCTATCTTCACAGACGCCCTCTTTCTCTGCTGCCACTCAATATTTTCTAAGTGCTCTCTCTCCGTGCACCTGACTTCGGATCTCAGATTGCAACAGGTCTCTCTCCAGTTCCAGCAGACACTGAATAAAACATGCAAGGGTGGTTTTAGTGCAGTAAAAAGACTCAGAATCCCCAGAACTCCCACCATGCCATAATTATTTACAATCCATTCAATCGCACTCCCAAATGTGGCTCCACTGAGTGTGGTCCCAAGAGTACCAGCGATCCCTGCTGATATCCACAAGCCAACTGAGTTTTTGTTGGAAACACTGTGACTTCTCAAAGCTAGAAATAACGAAGCAGTCACCGCTGCAAAAATCACACCAGTTATCACTGATGTCATTGCTGTCGTCAGCGCTGTCGCACCCATAAGGGTTCCCAGTCCCAGGGCACCCACTGCTCTAACCTCCTCCATCACTGGTTTTAGAGAACTACTTGAAGTCATAGCAGAAAGGATTTTGTCCACTGGGTCCTCTGTGGCCCCCAGAATGCAGCCTCCCACTGCTCCCAGGGAAAATCCCACAGCTGCTTCAATTAACTTGTTCTTGTTTCCTGAAAAACACAAAGACAAAACTGGTAACACTATGCACAAAAACATTATTTGTCCAAATACTTGGCTTTACCTGTACACAACAATCTACCTAGTCCATTTTACAGAATACAAAAAAATGGCACAATTAAGAAACTAATATAAAATAAAACAAGCACAGTTGGGTGTCAAATTAATTCCTAAGGTTTGCATATAGTTGCACCAAAACTTTTGCTGAACCACTCCTGGAACACTTCCAAAGATGAGCTTGAACCTGAAATAACTTTATAACCCGATCCACTGACAAAGCCAGAACAAACAGCACATTTCTTGCGACAATCTGGCAAAATTCAAAACACCTCATTTTGGACAAAGAAAGAGTTTGATATTGCCAGATGACAACTAAACTGTCAGTTATTTTAATCTGAGATGTAAAAGGTGAACCAGAATAATAATAATAAAAAAGATTATTTAGTTTTCATTTCTAGATAAAATGTACATAGAACATTTGTATTTTGCTACATTGTGTTAAAACCTAAAATATTGAATGTTTGAGTTAAATTGATTTTTTTTTTTTTTTACTTGCACACTAAATTGCTCTTCTACGGTGTTGTTATTGAGTTGCCTTTTTTCAAGGACAGTGAGCATGCAGACTCTCTAAACTAACCGGTTAGTCAAGTTTAACTGAGACAACGTGCTCCTGCGATTCCTATCTGTGCTTTGCTAATTGTGACCTTGTCTGATAAATCAGAAAGAAAAATAAAATAAAACCTACAATACTGTAATGTCAATAAAAATCCATGAACTTGACTTGCAGCAATTAAAAAAAAAAGGTTTGTAGGCTCAATTATCCAGGTAGATAACAACAAAAAAGGTTAAATCATGTCATCTGGACCTGTTTCTTTAAAGAAACTGGTCCAGATGACATGATTTAACATTTTTTGATTTGCAGCGATGAAAACACTTGAATTTTTGTAAAATAAATTTGATTTAGCATAGAATTTACACAGCAAAGAGGACAATGACACACACACAAACAATGAATGAAAATTAAGCACAAGGAGCTTATGTTCTTACGAAGTTTACTCCGTGCCATGATGTTCAAGACGTGGAGGGCCCAGCTGAAGAATCTTCTATCACTGCAGATACAGATGAAATTTCTTGTGGTGCTGACAGGACCCTGTGAGTAGCACAAAGTTTCACACAGAGATAGTTTTTTGTTTCACATTACTCAACAGTCTGTATGAACAGGACACACCCTCCCTCATTCTGTTGTCTGTGTCCTCCCTCCAGTATTCAATGGAGCAATAGGTTAATAGAATGCATTTATTATTCATTTCGTGGTAGTGTGGTTTTATTTTCAGTAGTAAGTACCGTATTTTTCAGACTATAATGTGTAAAAAAAAACACCACAGGAACATTTTCTGTGTTTTTTTGAGTGTTGTCAGTTTGAGGTAAGCACAACCAGAATTAATACATAATGTGAACCAGATTAAAAGGCTCTCTGTCGATTTTTGAGAAAATTAAAAGGATTTTAAGTGCGCCTTACAGTCCAAAAAACATGGTAGCAGTAAAAAAATACTAAAATGTAATTTTAGGACATTGTTCAACTTTTTATTTTATTTCATCACGTCAGCATTTTCAAGCAATGCAGGGGGATGCCACAAGGTAAAAAAAAAAAGTGTTGGAAGCTCAGTCATCCAGGTAGATAACAACAAAAAAGGTTAAATTGTCAACTAGTCCAGATGACACAATAGAACCTTGTTTGTTGCCACAAGGTAAAGCTCCAGCAAAAAAGTCATATAATGTGACATTGACAATGTTCAAAACAGCCCATGTTATAGCTTTTAAACACATTAACTCCAAATGAACAAACACACAGCATTATATTGAGAACTGCATTTATTTGTGTCCTAAGTTATACTGCACACACTCTAACATTAAATTCATAGTTCAACCTAAAAAACAACAACAGGTAAACTAAAATAGAGTGTTTACTTCTACCCTCTGTTTGGCATAGAAAAAAAGAAAACGTTGGTTCTATTTCGTATAGGCTTTGCCCTTTAATAGCTGTCGCTGGTGGGTTTATCCCGTCATGCAAAAGCATTGCACTGAAAAAAAAAAGTCCACGCCCACCTGTTGTGTGGGCCCCACCCGGTCCATATAAATTACGTTGAGAGCGGGTAATCGGCTCCCATTTTTTTTTCAGCAAGCTAATAGCACTGTCAGAAGAACGAAGAAGGGAAGTTGTCCAGCTTGACCGGCACAACCTTTGTTAAGGCTGCCTGTGGTCCCGCCATGCCAACCTCCTGCCATCCTGGTGAGTTCTCCTCCCCGAGGAGAAGCAGACGAGCAGCCTTGTTTCAAGGTAAGTGCCGAGGAATATTTTTCAGTGGCGGGTCGCTACATGCTGGACGACGCCATCGACCCTTTTTTCCTTTTAACGCCGACTCTCGGAGCGGCTCGGATGGTTCCTCCGGGACAGGCGACGTCAGCAACAGCCCCCGCTGCTCACTCCCTCCTGGAGAGCGTAGTGTCGGAACGAGGGGGGCTGACCGAATGCTCCCCCACCCCCCGGGGGCCTTTTTGCAACGGCGATCACACCGCTCCCAGCTGTCGGTGCCCTCCTCTCGGAGCTGCCCGGCATAATCCAGGAGGCGGCTGACATGAAGGGACTTTTTTCCATCCCTCTCCTTCCCCCGCCCAGATCGAATGATCTAGTGGGAAAGTTTTTTGGCTCCACCCCGGCTCGCCGTCCTGATCCCATCTGGCCTTGTTTTCCCAGCAGTGACATCCAACTGGAACGAGGCTGCAGCCAGACCTGGTAGACTTTGAGAGCGCCGGTTTCCACATTCGCACCCATCACCAGAGTGGAGGGGTTTTACAGAGCAGAAATTCCCTTGATGCCCCTCTGGAGGCAAGCCTGGCGGAGGCTCTAGGAGCAAAGACGTCCAGGTTGGACCAGCATCCTGCGCCTCCAGGGAGGCATGACCAGACGGTGAAGTCGCTCTCCAACCGAGCTCACCAATATGCGTTCCAGGTGGCCGCAGCGAACAATAACGTTGCGCCGCTGACGTACAGCATCTCAGAGGCCGGAGGGACAGACCTGCATGAGGAGACGAAGAGCTCCCTCTGTAGGGCGTCTGACGTCACCCTCAACCCGTGTGCCTCGTCTGCTGTCTGCCTGTCTCGTATTACAGCCTGGATGACAATGGTTCAGAGGTCCACCTGGCTTGTCACTCCCCCTCCCTGTCGGAGAAGCTGCAGATGGACTCGCTGGAAGGCCCCACGATGAAGGACGCGCTGTTCAGAGCCAATTTTCAAGGACATGCTCGAGAAATCGAAAAAGCCAGAGGAGGTGTCGGAGATTGTGCGCCATCTGATCAAGCTGCAAGAGAACAAACAAGTTAGACACGGCTGTGGCGTCGTCCAGCGGGTAGCGGCCCGCAATGGAAAAGTACTCCTCGGCGCTTACCTTGAACAAAGGCTGCTCGTCTGCTTCTCCTCGGGGAGGAAGAACTCACCGGGACGGCAGGAGGTTGGCGTGGCGGAGACCCAGGCAGCCTTAGCAAAGGTTGTGCCAGTCAAAGCTGGACAACTTTCCTTTTTTGTTCTTCTGACAGTGCTAGCTAGCTGTCTGAAGAAAAATGGAAGCCAATTCCCGGTCTCACCGTAATTTATACAGACTGGGGGAGAGGCTCACACAGCAGATGGGCGTGGACTAAAGTTTTTCAGTGCAGCACTGAGCGCCTTAGGGATAAAACTCACCAGCGACAGCTCTTAAAGGGTGAAGCCTATATGAAAAAGAACATCTAGATTAAACATCGGGACTGAATTATACCATAGATTAATTATAAAAAATGAGGTAATTAGTCTTTGCCATTAACAAATTATCCCATAGCACCTCACTGGATGTACATCTACAACTGATTACTATTGAAAACACAAATATGATTATAAATTAGCCAGTTTTACAGAAACTGGTCTGAAGTTTGATGAGGTAGTAGCTGAGCATCATCCCCAACACAAACTCAAAGTGAAGTAAATTTTGATGAAAGAAAATTTTACACAATTTTGGACTTAATTACTGAAATTAAAAAAATAACTGAAATGTACTGAAAATGTGATACAGCCATAAAACATCATTACTTTAAAAATAAAAATAAACAAAATAGTGACTACAGAAAACTGCATTCTTCTATTCCCCTTGGATTCACTTTGTTTGATGCAAAGACTTTTACCATATTAAAATTTAGTAGGACTAATTCATCAGATTATAGTTAAGGTTAGAAGCAAAATGAATATCCATATAGATTTACAAAAAAACAAAACAAAACAAAACAAAAAAACAATCAAGTATATTAAGAAGAATGTTTAAAAAATCAATAAATATATCTGACAGTCAGCTTCAAATCAGTCTATGTGCTGTTGGTGCATGCAGCTGTAATTTTTATTTCGAATTGATTCTAAAACTTACATGTGTGAAACAAACAAAATGCAAAAAATGTTTTTGTTCATTGTTTAAGTTTTCTTACTGGTCCCAGTCAGACGAAACATTTCCAGTGGTCAGCTTTGACAGGAAGCTGCTGCGCCATGAGCCTCCACCTCGGCTGTGTTTGCTGCCTCCACAATATCCACACTTCACGGGTAAACATGTAAATACAGGAGCCTGGTTTTTATTTTAGTGTCTGGGTAAACATGTAAGCCAACTGGAAAATGAGGTTTGGTTGAAATTTGTTGCGTCTGAAATCATTTTCGGAAGGAAAACAGACGGAAATCCCACCGATCAGCGACGAGATCCGCGTTGAATCGATGAAGTTTGAAGCTAAAAAAAACAAAATGTGGAGACGATCAGAGCTGAACACGAAGAGAAACAAGTCCTCTAACGAGCTGTGTCACTGTCAGCCTGCAGCGCTGCTCCCACACTCACCTCTTTACACTTTTCTGTCGAGGAGAAAACACAAACACGAGCCGTCCATGTTGCTCAGAGGAGTCGCGAGGAGCGTTGAGTCTCCACGGTTCTCATGGTGTGTTTAAGTGCAGCGCACCGCTCGGAGTTTTCATGACAACACTCGACTCTCTCGTTTAGTTGAAAGCAAGAAAAGAAGAAAATGGCAGAAGTGGCTCCAGCAGCTCCCGCTCCGGCCAAAGCAGCCAAGAAGAAGAGCACGAAGCCGAAGAAGGTCGGTCCCAGCGTCAGCGAGCAGATCGTGAAAGCTGTGGCCGCTTCCAAGGAGCGCAGCGGCGTGTCTGCTGCCGCCCTCAAAAAGGCTCTGGCTGCCGGAGGATACGATGTGGACAAGAACAAAGCCCGCGTCAAGACCGCCATCAAGAGCCTGGTGGCCAAGGGGACCCTGGTCCAAACCAAGGGAACCGGCGCCTCCGGATCTTTCAAGATGAGCAAACAGGCTGACACCAAGAAGCCCGCCAAGAAAGCCGCTCCTAAAGCTAAAAAGCCCGCCGCCAAGAAACCCGCCGCGGCCAAAAAGCCCAAGAAGGTGGCTGCAGCCAAGAAGCCCGCAGCTGCAAAGAAGTCTCCCAAGAAGGTGAAGAAGCCCGCCGCGGTCAAGAAGGCAGCAAAAAGCCCCAAGAAGGCCGCCAAGAGCCCCAAGAAGGTGGTGAAGAAGGCCCCCGCTGCCAAGAAGGCTCCAGCAAAGAAGGCAGCCAAACCCAAAGCCAAGAAGGCAGCTCCCAAGAAGAAGTGAACTCTGCTGCATTGAACTCAAAGGCTCTTTTAAGAGCCACACATCCTCTAAAAAGCTGCATCCTATTTAAGTTGAAAGGAAAAATATTTCTGTACAAATTAGTGTATGTTCAAGATCGTAACTCATAATGATGGTAGGTTGATAAAACTATAAGAATATATATTATTAATTTTTATAAATATAAGTAGTTGTTGTATAATAAGTTACGCTCCATCTCTGTCCTCACTCACAACTGCCTCCATGTCCCATCTTTTGTCTGTTTTCATCTTGCATTTGCATTTCCAACATCCTTTTGTAAAAACAAGCAAAAGTAAAGATCACTGGAAGAGGTAAATATTCAGAAATGTATGTCCCACCAGCATTAAAAGTCAGTTCACTGTAACAATTATCA